TTTTTTTCAGGAAAATTGGGTTGTTCACACCAGTCAAGCGCCATCCCATCAGAAATAAAAAGTGTCGGAGCTGGGAAACGTCTTTGTTTCCATGGTGGGATTTTGCATTTGCCCGTTGGATAGCCGGCTTTGGTGCTCGAGCTTCTTCCACCACATGTTGATGTTATTCTAATAATTTTATAAAAGTACCAATTGTTAAGCGAGAATCGCTACTTATATTCATCGAATTACATAGGTACTTAAATAAAAAGCTTTTTACATTCTCATATATACACAGACATACACGTTGCGCGTGGCTATTGACTTGATTTAGCCACCGGAGGATCGAGATAAATGGATTTCGGGCGTATTTTCTTCTATCGTCTTGCCACCATAACATGTTTTTTTCGGGATAACGGCGGCGACTAACGTTCACGAGGTATTTTTAAATGGTCTTTTTCCAATTTCGTTTTCCCATTTTGCCCTGCGTGTTATTTTCCCAGTTTTTTACAGTACATGTGATTCACAATTTTTATGTGTGTAATCATATATTTAGATCCTAAGCACTATTTTAGGCATGGAGGAAAGGAGGCGGCCTTTCTTCAGCATGGCCGATTTCTATGAGCAGTTGCCGGAAATGAAGCTGAGCAGGTTTTTTTTTTTAAAAAAAAAAAAAATCATCTTCTTTTAATTTGCATTTGTAGATAACTACAAAAGGTTCACCATGGTATCTTCGGAAAACGATCTTTGAATATGAATAAAGCTTTTGTTGAACAGAACATATATGTTCTAATCCAGGTCACATGTCGAAATCTGATCCGTTATGGTGTTTGCTTGATCAATGCGTGTTGAACTAAAATTACTACAGTAATCGAGAATAATGCAACGTAATTAGTTGGATCACAATGCATACATATTTATTTCTTAATTAGTGTGTCTTGAACTATTGAGACATACAAATAATTAGTTGCAAATATATCCCAAGATACAATCGCAAGCATATTTGTGGTATTGGGTCCTTGTGATTTGAAAATAGAATTGTGTTTTTCATGGTTAGATACATCTTAGAGGTTGTTGTTTGATTTGGTGGTACGTGGTTTGAACATTAATGTCACGGGGTGCACTTGTTGGAAAAGAGCTTTGAGGCTGATAACAACCTAGAAGGATGTTATGAGACAATATATAGCTACTGATTGTGCTTTGTTAAGCCTAATCATTAAACATTAAATCTATTTGAGTTTTTGTGTAAATATGATGAAAATTATAGCACATCATCAACATCATCATCAACATACCCAGTATATTCCTAAAATTGTACCTTTTTTTTTTCAAACTGGTGTGTTGATCCAAAATATTCAGGTGTCATCCAAAGGACATTACCGGGGTTTTTTTACCATCGGTCATATCCTTTATCTGCCTTGTGTGCCTAGATGATTGCACG